CTACAATAGTGATAAATTCCTCCCAAGGTCCTCTTAGCACTCCGATCAATGCCGCAGAACCTTGTTCACTACCCAAAGGATGCCCGCCTTTCTATTTCTGTCATAGGAGAAATGTTATTAAATTAAACTGGTTGACTTGGAGCAACAAGTTTATTTACACACAGTTCTGAGTAATTGTGGGAGCAAATTGACTGACAGACCCTCTTACCTCAATCACACCTGCAGAATTCTGCAACCTAAAATTCTATTTCCTAATTTTATGCATAACATGAGAAGACACACAGGGCTTGCACTGTAAGTATCTTGGAGAGCTCCATACAATTCCTTATAATTTTGTTATAAGGAATTGTATGGAGCTTTCGAGGAGACTTTTCTTAATTAGCTTAGGCGCGGCGGATTTGGTCACGTATGATCAGCGCGAGGTGTTTTTCCCGACACCCTTCTGTCAGGAAAATGTCATCATATGAAAGCAAACCAGACACGATCGCGTCGGCGGGCCGAAGCCGGCAAAAATATTTAAAAAGGCTTTTCTTCTTCCATTTCAGAGGTCAGTTTTGTTTCGATCTGGTAAAAAATCAGGTTTTTAGGTTGTAGGTAACAAAATATTGTCTTATTCTGTTCTCAAGGACCTTTAGAAAACGAGACAAACGAGATAATTGACTAGAGAAAGAAGCATGAAAACGCTTTTTTGGAAGAAAATATTTTTTAATTCCCGCAGCGATTTTGCGAAATCGCGAAGCGCAATATATTCAGTTTCTTCCAATGCCTTCATGATTAAGCAGTGTAATGCCATCACAACTAAAAATGAATTCAGTTTGTATCGCAAAAGCCGGGAAAATAGAGCTGAAAAAAAAATGGATCAGAAAAATTAATAAAATCACCAAGAAACCGTCTCGCGGGAGCTTTGTCAAACAAACCTTTGGTACGGTTTATTTAACCTAACCTGGAAAAGGAGACGTCTGCACGCAGAATACATTTCATACTACATGTAGTTGTAATTTCCAGAACGGACCTCGGGAGCTTCATTGCCGTAATATCTTCTACATTACAGAAACCACAGCAGAATCGCCCTGCTCGCTTGCTAACTTTCCGCTCCAGTTATGACTATACAGTAGTATACCAGTGAATTGTTTCAAAATTTAAAGCGGCGGAAACTTATTTCCATCAGCGCGTAGTTAGCTAGTTAAGCAATAATAATGCACAGCACTGTAAATAACACGGTTCTAGAATATCTGACGGCTTCGCGTTTTGTTTGTCGCTGCATGCGATTTAATCGCTTATAACCTAACAGAAAATGTAAATGTACCTGAAGGAAATACCGTGTATTACCTTACCTTAACGCTGTGATGTGTGTAAATTTGTCTTTTGCTATGGTTTTAGACAATACGACTTCTCCTGACTATCAATTGTGCGTCAAAACAAGCGCGATAATGAAATAGTCTAAGTGCCATGGTGTAGCACTTTATGACAAAGTTTTAACTGGAAAACTTGTTACTATCTGATGTACACCTGTATAGTCTATGTTTGTAAGCTCTGCCTAAAGAATCACTGGGTTACACTGCACCCATGGGTGTGCCACCTAAAGTGCAGCCTATGTTTGTTAGCTCTACCTAAAGAATCACTTGGTTACACTGCACCCATGGGTGTGCCACCTAAAGTGCAGCCTATGTTTGTTAGCTCTACCTAAAGAATCACTTGGTTACACTGCACCCATGGGTGTGCCACCTAAAATGCAGCCTATGTTTGTTAGCTCTACCTAAAGAATCACTGGGTTACACTGCACCCATGGGTGTGCCACCTAAAGTGCAGCCTATGTTTGTTAGCTCTACCTAAAGAATCACTTGGTTACACTGCACCCATGGGTGTGCCACCTAAAGTGCAGCCTATGTTTGTTAGCTCTACCTAAAGAATCACTTGGTTACACTGCACCCATTGGTGTGCCACCTAAAATGCAGCCTATGTTTGTTAGCTCTACCTAAAGAATCACTGGGTTACACTGCACCCATGGGTGTGCCACCTAAAGTGCAGCCTATGTTTGTTAGCTCTACCTAAAGAATCACTGGGTTACACTGCACCCATGGGTGTGCCACCTAAAGTGCAGCCTATGTTTGTTAGCTCTACCTAAAGAATCACTGGGTTACACTGCACCCATGGGTGTGCCACCTAAAGTGCAGCCTATGTTTGTTGGCTCTACCTAAAGAATCACTGGGTTACACTGCACCCATGGGTGTGCCACCTAAAGTGCAGCCTATGTTTGTTAGCTCTACCTAAAGAATCACTTGGTTACACTGCACCCATGGGTGTGCCACCTAAAGTGCAGCCTATGTTTGTTAGCTCTACCTAAAGAATCACTGGGTTACACTGCACCCATGGGTGTGCCACCTAAAGTGCAGCCTATGTTTGTTGGCTCTACCTAAATAATCACTGGGTTACACTGCACCCATGGGTGTGCCACCTAAAGTGCAGCCTATGTTTGTTGGCTCTACCTAAAGAATCACTGGGTTACACTGCACCCATGGGTGTGCCACCTAAAGTGCAGCCTATGTTTGTTAGCTCTACCTAAAGAATCACAGGTGGACTCGAAGTAGGACAAACCTTGTGATTTTTTTCGGCGCCCCTTGCGCGCAAACTAATTTATTCTGGCGCAAAATGAAGATTAAGAAAATGTATCTGAAATCTAATACACGACAAGAAAATTTTCGCACTTTCGAGGAGCGCGACATATTAAATGGGATTAAGTCGGATTAGCTGCCCTTGGAGAAAACATCCCTGCGTGGGATGGTACTTCCAGTAAAAAGCCTCTGTGTCCTCTCATGTTTATTATTATAATTCACATTATTGAAGCAGAATTCTGCAACCTAAAATTCTATTTCCTAATTTTATGCATAACTTTATTATTATAATTCACATTATTCCTTCAACCCTTTAAGCCTTGAGAGTGATCAGCATCAAATTTCTCCTTGAAATATCAATGCTTTGTAAAACAGAGTGTTCATGAGAATTATGGACATGATCACACAATCTGCTTGATATTTTATCAACTTCTTCCCACTACTTCTGTAGGAAATGAATAGGGGCAACAAATGAGCATTCAAATTTTGATCTTAGGGTTAAAAGGGTTTTAAATTTCTATTTTTAATGCATATATTTTGCACTTTTTTATCAGACAAGAGAAATAATACATTGGTAAGGTAAACCTTACTTAAAACAGAACAAGTACTGAAATCTACAGTGTAAATGTATAACCAGACCACACCACCCTTACCATCTTCTTTAGTTGAAATGGCTTTAAGGTTTTTTCATTAGATATGTTTATCATTCTCCCTGTTTTAAATAGGGGACAGTGAGGGGATGGAAGAAGTGCTTTTTAACTCCTTCACTGGCTTAACTACAGAATACAGGGTCACTTATTTCCTTATCATTAGATAATAAAATTAAAAACATCTAATGACCCGTTCTTCAAAGCCTTCCGACAAGGTGAACTTGAGTAACCTGAATTCTGTTTCATCAAACGTGGTTAAAATAGCTCAGTCTTTTGCATTTGGTAGAAAGAGAGCGAATCAGGGCGGCTTACCTGGTCTTACTATCGGCTTTTTCCAGCAAAGTCTTGATTCTTGGAGAGCGTTTGTTATATTTGTGCAGTTCATCTTGAAAACCGTTGCGCCTCACGAGGCTTCTGTCTCCGATTCTTTACGACGAACTTCAAGAGCGAAGTGATGGATCAACGACGGCTCATAGTTCGAAAATAATTAGTAACAACACCTTGAATGTCCTTTGATGCTGTCGAGAAGTATAATGCAAGACTCCTGATCCCCAAAGAAACTGGCATGTTCGCAACCGTTGCAGTACTTTCAAAATGGACGCCAAAAGGACAACACCAAAGAGCATGTGCATAAGGAAAGCCCGCTGACCAGTTGTGTATTGTTTCCAAAAATGCTTTCGATTGTTTACATGTCGTGTCATTTTTAGCCTGCGTGGCAGGCGTCCGAAATTTGAAAAACCTTTAACTTATGAATCAGAAAATATATGTACATGATGGCTGGGTCTTTGTTTGCTATCAATACCGAGGGATATTGTACTGTAACGCCCTCCCAGCATTTAGTTTGCGTGACGCATCATGTAATGTTATCGATATTGAAATCACGTGCAAAACATTCGGGAGCGTGATTGTAGTTTTGTATCCGATTTGCACCTTCGCTCGAGGCAAAGGTTCGCTCGAAACCATGATTTACCTTACAGTCTCTGACTGTCGTCACGGTTTCAGGTCTACGTTTAAGTTATCTTAGTTCCTTACTCGACTAAACGGACCGTACTTTGGATTTATGGTTACTTCAACCGAACACCGCGGTCTCCTTGCGCCCCTTTTGACGGCAAAAGGCGGTCGCTTCGAGTAGACCTTGTTGGGGCCAAATCGGAATTTTAATTTGGCTATCGGAAGGGCCAAATTGAGAGGAAGTGCCAAAGTAGCTTTTAGTGTAGCCGATTCAGAAATTAGATGGGCCGAATTGGTACCATCTAGAACTGTTTTGACTCTTTCTGTCCAAAACGGCCCAGCATGTTCCAAATCGGCCCTCGATAAATTGGGGCCGATTTGGCCTTTGGGGTCGATTTGGCTCTTTTCATTTTACAGTGTATCTATCTATCTATCTATCTATCTATCTATCTATCTATCTATCTATCTATCTATCTATCTATCTATCTATCTATCTATCTATCTATCTATCTATCTATCGATTCTAGAAAGAACTAAATATCAGTATGTTAATTAACTAATGAGTAAATGAATGAATGAATTGATTGATTAAACGTGCGGAATTTTGTTTTGAAAAGGGACGATGGCCAAAACTCTTCTCTGTGTGCAATAAAATAAACTGCAAGATGATCGGATCAATCTAGAACAACGGTTTTAAAATATATATTATTTTACCTTAATTAATGTCTTGAAAACACTGTTAATCAACAAAAAAAAAAAAGATCTGTTTCAGCCCCAAAGTACCAATTCACCCACGCAGGCCCAAGTCTGCCGATTCAGCCTCTCCTGGAGCCATTTGAGCACAATTTAAACCAAAAAGAGCCCTATCAAATGCCTTTTTCAACCCACGCTAAGTCTCCTTTCAGACCATGTGTTTAAGTCAGCCCTAGATAATTGGACTAATTATAGACGGAAAAACATAATTCCGTATTTCACTAGCTTTTACTCACCGAAACGATCCTTTTACTGAGTAAAGGCTGAGACTATTAATTCTTCAATTTTAAGTGAACTCTTTCATTCACCAATGGCGGCCCCTCGAGGACTCCTCAAAATATTTCAAAGTGAAGAGAATTCGCACCTAAAACTATTAATACAGTATTTGGGACACCATTTTGTATATAATATCAAAAATTAGCCAAACAGAGACTCCGATTTCGAACGGCTTTAGGCCTTCTACGGTTACTGAAAATCATTCCATATCTATCTAAAAAATTACCGTTTTTTGTTCCACTCTTCTCGGCGTGTACCCACTTCGTTGCTATCAATGAAGCAAGCATGGCCAGGAAGGCTAAGGCCAAAACAGCTATCATAGCAGATGACACACGCCGACCCATCGTCTTACTATTTCCTGTTGGTTGTTGCCCTCCTCTGTCATCTTGGGAGGTTTGGTTTGCTGCTTGGGTTTCGGTGGCAGATGAAGACGGTTGATTGATTGATTGTATGTTACAGTAAAGGTGTTCATTGTTGGGTTCTGTTCTGTAATCACTGAACATACGCCGACCTTTCCCGATATTTCTTGTCGGTTGTTGCTCTCTGCAATCTTGGTAATCGTTTGCTGCTGAAGCTTCGATTGATGAAGACGGCATATTGAACAACTCTAAGTGATTATAAAGATCTTCATCTCTGGTTTCTGTTCTGAAAGCACTATTGGTTGCTGCCATCGTTCTTAAACTAGGAACGACCTCAATTCAGACCCTCCAACTACTCGACCGACTCAAGCCAAACTACTTGCCTTAAATGGTCTTGGCCACTTTTATATCGTGCACAGAATTAGTATGGGCTAGTCCAATATACAAATGAAAGCTGATTCATCATTGAGACTGTGTAACCAACCGTACTGATGGATGATCATCCCGATAGCCCGGGGGGGTACTCCCTTATAAGGGCTTAATGGGGACGTGCGGCCAGCCAGGGTATGTTTTTCGGGATTTTTGTCTTGAACAAGGTATCGAATTTATCATTTTTTGTCTTAATCAGGGTATCGATTTATCAATTTTTGTCTTAAACAGGATAAATGTCTTAAACAGGGTATCAAAAATCGGAATTCTGTCTTAAACAGGGTAGGAAAATCAGCGATATTTGTCTTAAACATTGTCAGGGTATGAGGAGCCGCGCCGCACCTCCCCACCCAGGGATATATCGAGTACCCCCCAACCCCCGGGCCTAATAGTAGCATCAACTTAGTGGTGCAAAGGGAGACGTCGGTTTATCGTTTCATGTCAGTTTCTTCAGTTACACTGTTTGGCAATGCCTTCCACGGTTTACCAGAGAAAGCTTAGAGAGTCTGAAAAATTTTGCGACATAGCTCCTTGAAGCAATATCTCAAGCATTCGAAACAGTGTTTCATCACATAAACACTTAGCAAGTGATATTGTCTTGAAATACTGCCTCATGTCCGATATTTTCGTAAGAATATTGCTTAAACTAATCATATGTGTATAAACGACTTAAATCCTTTTATTGAGAAACAGGACATACACTCTTGAACACAATATACCGGTAGCTTTTCGAGAGCTTTATAGAGTGCCTTTCGACACAGCATGTCGTAAGTATTGATATTGTCACTGAATAAAATGCAACACAGCGATTTGACCGACACGAAAATACAATTCCGCGGCCTTTTAGACATTTTTTTAAAAAAAGCGTTGGTTGTCGCGGATCATAATATTTTAGTGTATAAGCTACAGCACTATGATGATACCAGAACTTTGAAAGCTGTAATTTTACATCAGAACAAAAACAGCATTGTGCTGGTAATCAACAAAAGTCAGCATTGTGCTGGTAATCAACATTTTGGGTAGTTTTAAAAACAAAATGGCTCAAAATTACAGAAATTTGATTCATGTTAACTCTCTCCCCACCCATGCGTTTAAGTAAGAACTACCAATTTACCACTCTTAGACAAGCATCTCATCAAGAGGGGCATAGTTTACTGTAGTTATCCTAGTTATTTCATACAAAGCAGGGTAGAAAACAGGGGAGGAACAGGCTGGAATTGAAGGGGACAGGATTGGTACGGAAGGCAGGAAAGAAAGGGGAACGAAGGTGGGTGTACTAAAAGGGTGGGAACTTGGAGAAGTAGTGGGAAAGGGAACTATGCAACAATGCTCAATATTTTGCAATCTAAAAGGGCTAATGGAAGGAAGCCAAGAAAAAGAGATGGAAGCTGGGACTGCAAGGTAGGGGAGACGGGATGTGTGGACCTCCCTGTCCCCCTCCCCGCAACCAGGTCCCTTGTAACGGACTAACATCCAATCCAGGAGGAAGTGGAATAACAATAATATTACACTTTCGGCTTGAATAGCATTTAAACTAATAATGAGTCTGTCATTCATTAAGATAACGACGATGATGCAAGCGCTGCTGGAGGAGACTTCCGATTTAGAAAGGAAAGAATTCCAAGTCAGTAACAGATGCTGAAACAGTAGAGATGAGAGGTTTGGTTTGCTGCTTGGCTTTCGGTGGAAGGTGAAGACGGTTTATTGATTGACTGTGCATGTATGTTACAGTAAAGGTGTTCATTGTTGGGTTCTGTTCTGTAATCACTGAACATACGCCGACCTTTCCCGATATTTCCTGTCGGTTGTTGTCGCCCTCTGCTATCTTGGTAATCGTTTGTTGCTGGAGCTTCGATTGATGAAGACGGCATATTGAACAACTCTAAGTGATTATAAAGATCTTCATCTCTGGTTTCTGTTCTGAAACTAGTTGCTGCCATCGTTCTTAAACTAGGATCGACCTCAATTCAGACCCTCCAACTTCTCGACTGATTCAAACCGAACTACTTACCTTAAATTGTCTTGGCCGCTTTTAGATCGTGCACAGAATTAGAATGGGCTAGTCCAATATACAAATGAAATCTGATTCATCACTGAGAATGCGTAACCAACCGTATTGATGGATGATCATCCCAATAGTAGCAGCAACTTAGTGGTGCAAAGGGAGACGTCGGTTTATCGTTTCATGTTTCAGGTTTCATGTTTCATTACACTGTTTGGCAATGCCTTCCACGGTTTACCAGAGAAAGCTTAGAGAGTCTAAAAAATTTTGCGACACAGCTCCTTGAAGCAATATATCAAGCATCCATAATGATCAACCACTGAGCAAGTGATATTGACTTGAAATTAATACTGCCTCATGTCTGACATTTTCTTAAAAACATTGCTTAAACTAATCATATGTGTATAAACGACTTAAATCCTTTTATTGAAAAACAGGACATACACTCTTGAACACAATACAGCTTTTCGAGAGCTTTATAGAGCGCCTTTCTACACAGCACGTCCTAAGTACTGATATTGTCTCTGAATAAAATGCAACATAGTGATTTGACTGACACGAAAATACAATTCCGCAGCCTCTTTATAGATTTTTTTGAAAAAAAGCGTTGGTTGTCGCGGATCATAATATTTTAGTGTATAAGCTAGAGCACTATGATGATACCAGAACTTTCAAAGCTGTAATTTTACATCAGAACAAAAGCAGCTTTGTGCTGGTAATCAACATTTTGGGTAGTTTTGAAGACAAAATGGCTCAAAATGAAAGAAATTTGATTCATGTTAACTCTTTCCCCACCCATGCGTTTAAGTAAGAACTACCAATTTACCACTCTTAGACAAGCATCTCATCAAGAGGGGCATAGTTTACTGTAGTTATCCTAGTTATTTCATACAAAGCAGTTGGGGAGAACAAGGGAGGGACAGTCTGGGACAGAAGGGGACCGGATTGGTACGGAAGGCTGGAGAGAAAGGGGAACGAAGGTGGGTGTACTAAAAGGGTATGGTAACTTGGAGAAGTAGTGGGAAAGGGAACTATGCAACAATGCTCAATATTTTGCAATCTAAAAAGGGCTAAAGGAAGGAAGCCAAGAAAAAAGAGATGGAAGCTGGGACTGCAAGGTAGGGGAGACGGGAGGTGTGGACCTCCCTGTCCCTCCCCCCCCCTCCCCGCAACCAGGTCCCTTGAAACGGACTAACATCCAATCCAGGAGGAAGTGGAATAATAATAATAATGTTATACTTTTGCTTTTCTTTTCACAAACGTTAGAAGGGATAAGGCCCAACTCTTTCGGCTTTAATAGCTTTTAAACTAATAATGAGTCTGTCATTCATTAAGATAACAATGATGCAAGCGCTGCTGAAGGAGACGTTTGATTTAGAAAGCAAAGAATTCCAAGTCAGTAACAGATGCTGAAACAGTAGAGATGGGGCAGGTTCTGCAGGATATGAGAAGACTGGCACTGGGAATGCAGGATGAAAAGAACAGACAGGCTCGAAAACTAGACCTGTCTTCAGATTCTGTTGATAAAGCCATGAATGAGAGAATACGAACTGATGCTAGCAAGACTTCAAAACTCACGTGACTTTGATATCAACTCAATTAGCTTGTAGTTTTAATTGAATGACTTATACCATAATGACAAAGTTATTAAGTCTTTTCAATCGGGTCTGGTTCTGATACTGGGATCAAACGTTAGTTCGATTTGTCGGATTGTACTCAATTATTGAGATCAAATGGTGATGATCTTCTTGTCAGTCGGAGATGCTTTATGCTGGTTGGTTCTCTCAAAATCTTCATTCAATTATTTACTTCTTGTAATTTTACCAAAGTTCTGGATATCATTCTGTGAGGATATTTATTATAAGTAAATAAAACCATTTTTTAATACAAAACTGCCACCCTTGAAACAACAATCATTTTATTGTTTATTCATTGACCTGTTAATGTAATATTTATGATGGATGGAATGGGGCCATGCATATGGTTGGGGTGAAAACGTGTTTAAGAAAAATAGTTGCTAGCTTAATTAAGACAATGTAACCTCGGTGTAAAAGAAAAACAAGACACTCTTAAAGTGTTAACTCGAGGTTGTTTGGAGATAAGATAAGAAATGAGGAGGAGATAAATTCTTAAGGAACCAGTGCGCAGCTAGGCATAGGTTACACAGTAACAATTGACTGCCTAATGGTACATAGGATAGTCAGACTAAACTTAAACTGGAAAAAGATTATAGTTCAATCGTTGTTACAATCTATAAATCTAAAGTGAAAATTTCCAATGATGTCTAGACAATAATGCTGCAATTTCAAGCAATCTTCCACAATCACTGGTAATATCGAGACCTTACAAATCTAAGTACGACATCAAGGAAACATCAATGAAGACGTTAGTATGAAAAATATTACACATTTCCCATACTAGAGAACTTCGAAAATAAATAGACTAGTTCAATTCTTAGACTAGTAATTTCCATTGGCCGATGAGGTGCTGTAAGTAGAGTGCGTGACAGTCAAGTACAAAGCTACCCTTATAAACACATCCATGACACATACGCAAAGTCAGACGGGTAGATGAAGTTGCTTCTAGTAGTTGAAGATTAAAAATCATTGATATCTCAAGTATTTATAAAGTGCAACGCGACTTAACATCTTAACAACTGCAAAAATCTATCAATTAAATACATACAACAAAGTGTCTGCAATATCGAATCTATTTAACTGCAGGGTTTCAGTAATTGCGTCAATATTTTGAAAATGCAAAAATATCTGCGGTACGCAGGTTAGCAGATGATTTGTTTTCTGCACGTTCTAATATGGTTAATTACGTGTATAATCAAGTCTGTTTGTGTTTGTTATTCTCGGTGTTAAGTATTATTCATACA